AGAGGAGGGAGTCAGAGTGTGATCTCTGACTCCCATCAGCCTGAGCCAGCCACTGGCCCCTAGGAAAGTCACCATCCTGCACCTAAAAGGTATGAAACAGGAGGGTGACTAAAATGTTTTGCATGTGTTTGTGTATGTGTGTGTCTCTGTATGTATGTGTGTCTGTGTGTGTATTTGTCTGCATCTGTATGTTAGTGTGTGCCCTATGTATCTGTATGAGTGTCATTCTGTGTATCTGAATGTTTGTCATTAAGTGTCTGTGTATCCGCATGTGTCTCTGTATGTGTGTCTGTGTATCTTTATGTGTGTCAGTGTTTGTATCTATAGGAGTGGTATTCTGTGTATCTGGATGTGTGTATGTGTATATATATGTGTCTGTATCTGTGTGTTAGTTTGTATGTCTGTGTATTTGCATGTGTGTCTGTATATCTGTATGTATGTATCTGTGTGTGTTATATGGTGTGTGTTTTTGTCTGTTTATTTGCTGTCTGTGCAACTGTCACCCCACCACACACTGTCACACCCCTTCACCATACCACACTCACAATAACTCCCCCAATCTTGTCACTCATCCATGCCATTCTCACCTCCCATCGCTCTGCCATATTCACCCTATCACACTCACCTTCTCTAGCTCTGTCACACTCACCCCTCCCCTCAATCCTGTCACATTAATTCTCCATCACTTAGTCACACTTACCCCCTTTTAACCTGCCACACTCACCCTATCACATGAACCCCTCCAATTCTGTCATACTAATCACCCCCCACCATGCCACATTCACACTGTGGGGCGTGAATGTGCCACATGGAGGGGATGGGGGTGTGAGACGTATGGGGGGGCGGCGGGCAATTTTCACACAAGGGGCCTGTAGTTTCTAGTAACACCTCTGACCTTAGACTAATGCTAGAGTAAAAAACAAACACAAACAAAACTATTACAACCCTAATAGAAAAAAAGATAAAACAATAATGTATTGTAAAAATATACCTCATATTTAATATTTTGTTGCATCTATGAAACTTTGTTTCCTTCATTCCATCTAGTTTTAAAAGCCAACTTTTCAATTCAGTTAATTGGAACTTTACAACCAGTTTAAAAAGTACGTTTCAATACTAAGATACCAACAGACAAATATGTTGTTAAGTAAGTGAACTCAAGAGCAAAGAAAATTATTCATGTATATGTGTAGGTGCACCTATAATCACTGTGAATTGAATTACTAAAATCTCACAAACAATAAACACACTCAACAAAAAAGAGTAACAGTGCACACCAAATATATATAAAATGTATATGCAATTACCCTCTGGAAGGTCAGAAAACTAGAAGGAGAAAACCAGAACATACAATAACACAGCACAGTATGTTTGAACATATCAGACAATGTATTATTGAGAATCTTGCTATGATTATTATTATGATATTTATAGAGCGCCGTCAAATTCCGCAGCGCTTTACAATGGGTGGACGAACAGATATGTAGTTGTAACCAGACAAGTTGGACACACAGGAACAGAGGGGTTGAGGGTCCTGCTCAAGAGCTTACATGCTAGAGGGAGTGGGGTAAAATGACACAAAAAGGTAAGGATAGAATTAGACTAGTGACAGTTGCAGAAGAGGAATCAGTCAGGATCTATTAACAGTTTAATTGATACGCTTTTATGAAGAAGCGGGTTTTTTCACGATTTTTTGAAGGAGTGGAGACTGGGTGAGCATCTAACGGAGGAGGGAAGCGAGTTCCACAGGAACGGTGCAGCCCTCGTGAAATCTTGAAGGCGAGTGTGACGGACCGCTGGCACTCCGACTGAGTACCTCCGCCAATCGATGCTCCTAGTGCTCGCTGAGGACTCCAAGCACTCCAACCGACACCATCAGCACTGCAGACCCCACTTCCAGTGATGCAGCTGCGCCAGGGTCTCGCTGTCTCCACCCACCAGGATCCAGCTTCCAGTGGGTGAACCTCTCTTTCCCCAGAGAGCAGGAACAGGAACAAGCTCTTAGCAGAGCTTAGTGATCATACCTGGGGAGTATAGTGATTATAGCAATCCCCAGAGTGTAGTTCTCCAATCCCCCAAACATGAGCAAAGGCTTCAAGAAACGTACAAGATGATCTGATTTTAATGACCACACACTGGCTTTTATGCAAGTCCCCATGCAAGGGGACATCCCACAGGGTGGGACACAGTACAACCAATCATTTACAGGAAAACCGTAAAACACATCCAGCCCTGACATACAATCCCTCCCCTCTGCCTGTGATATAATTACTGAACACAATGAGTTAATGTAATTTATCACAGGCAGAAAAAATACACTTTTTATACATACACTGTAACTTTAAACATATGCATCATATTCACATAAAACATACATATTCAGAATCAGCATTAAATATAAACATAACCAAAATTCAGCCAATTCCATGCAGGGGTTAAAAAGTTAGCTGGAGGTCCCTTTATGACCGACCGCAAGCACATTTTCATGCCCAAAACAGTTCCATAGATTTGGGCTGTGCGGTGGGTCTATTTCAGGCTCAAAAAAACGACTAAGTCCCATCGCGGAATGGGACTTAGTCTCTGCGGCTGCAAAATCATTGTGGGAGAAGGTAAGGCTCAGCGGTGTTCGCGGAACTGTGTAGCCAATTTCAGTTCCATGGATTTGGCTACACATACCACTGACCGCATTGAATAAAAAAAAAGATGGCCTCCGCCATGTGTTCGTTTGCACGAACTGCGGCCACCCAGCGTTCGGCAATTTACCTACAGCAGGCTCCCAGCCTGGTAGGTAAATTGCCTGCACACTTCCACTTCTGGGTGGTCCGCCTGTGTGGTACCTGGTTCAGTAAGCCCCATTTACTGAACCAAGTGGGAGAAAGCCAGGAACACAGTATATTAACAGTTTGGGGACATAGTCTTAAAGGGGCATTGTCACACAAAGTCTCAATATGTCCCCAGACGGTTCTTAAAGGGCCAGCAGCAGCACAATATAAATCCATTAGCCCAAATCTTGTATTTAAAGGGCCAAACCTCACATGGACCATAATCACACGGCAAGAGGCTGGCAAGTAGTCCTCTCCAGGCACAAGTGGCAATGTTAATTTCACCACAGCGAGCATCAGAGGTGAGAGTACGGACAGAAGATAGACGTAACTCTTCAGCAGATCATAAGGGCCTAGACGGGACATACTTGTGTATAAGGGAGGATAGATAGGTGGGAGCAGCATTACGTAGAGATTTGAAAGCAAGAACCAGAATTTTAAATTGAGCTTTATATTTTATAGGAAGCCAATGTAGGGACAGACAGAAGGGCGAGGCATGGGAGGTGCGGGCGGACAGGAAGATGAGCCTCGCCGCCGTATTCATTATAGACTGTAACGGTGCAAGTTGGGAGCACGTAAGACCACTGAGAAGCGGATTACAGTAGTCAAGGTGAGAAAGGACAGTGGAATGGACCAACACCTTAGTCGCATCTGGCATTAAGTTGGGGCGGATGCGCGCAATGTTTTTGAGATGGAAATGGCAGGATTTGGTGATAGACTGAACATGAGGCTTGAAGGAGAGTAGGGGACCAAGGACAGTAGGGGACCAAGGACTGAACCTTGGGGGACACCAACAGAGAGGAGTTGGGGAGAAGAAGCAGAGCCAGAGAAAGAAACACTGAAAGAGTGCTGGGAGAGGTAGGAGGAGCACCAGGAGAGAGCAATATTTTGTAGACCGATATTGCGGAGGATGAGAAGAAGCTGGTGATGATCAACAGTATCAAAAGCCACAGACAGGTCAAGGAGAATTAGGATAGAGTAGTGACCATGAGATTTTGCAGCGAGTAGATCATTGGATACTTTGGTCTGTCAGGGCCGGTGCTAGGATTTTTGACTACACAGGCGAAGATGCATTTTGACGCCCCCTCCCCCCCAAAAAAAATAAACAATGCATCTTCACCTCTGTGTCTCGTAGCCCCCTTTTGAATTTCTTACCCCCATTAGTGTTGCATATCCACTCTCTTGAATGTCTTACCCCTTTGTGCCTTACACCCCCCTTTAGTGTGTCTCCTACAACCCCTCTTATGTATTTCTTACTTCCCCGCCAGCCCCTATCTATCTCTCTTTTTCTCCCACATAGACATAGATACAGGCAAAAATACATACATGCACAAATACACAAACATACAGACACACAACCATACAAGCACACAGACATAATTTTTCAGGCACACAGTCACAAAGATATACAGACACACAGTCATAAAAGGCACACAAACAAACACAGTCATACAATCTACACATATAGGTACATTATCGTACAAACACAGACATACATTCATACAGACACAGGCACTCACAGAAATACATACACAGACATAAAGAAACAGAGATAGGCATACAGAGACATACATACACAGACAAACAAAGAACCCTGCACACTGATACCGTGTAAATGCTCCGGCCATCAACAGAGGTGGATGCTCCATGTCAGGCAGACATTGCTGGATCCACCAGTAAAGTCTTCAAAAGGAATAAACGCAGGCAACACTCCAATAGTAAGGATGGTATATTTATTGGTAGGTGAACCACCCCATAGAAAGTGTGATGTTTCAAATCATGCAATAAGGCTCTGCTGAGCCGAAACGACGCACTTTCTTTGGGGTGGTTCACCTATCAATAAATATACCATCCGTACTATTGTGTTGTACTATTGAGTGTTGCCTGCGTTTATTCTTTTTGAATACATACACACAGTCATACAGAGACATACATACTGTATGTCTCTGTATGACGGTCTGTGTATGTACACAGGATGGCTAAAAGATAGATCCCCATCTGTCGTGCAACTTCAACAATGCTTTGAAAGCTGGGGCTCTACCGATTCCCCATGCTTGCAGGATTGTATTTAGCATGGAGCAGTATTTGTGTGTTTGACTGTAAGCATGTGTTTGTATGGAGTATGTTTGTATGATTGTAGCGGTGTGTTTGTATGTAGTGTTTGCATTTGAATGCAAGCATGCATTTATGTGTAGTGTTGGTTTTTGAACGCAGGTGTGTGTTTATATATAATTTTGGTGTCCGATACAGAGGTGTGTTTGTATGTAGTGTTGACATTTGAATGCAGGGGTGTGTTTGTATGTAGTGTTGATGTTTGCATGCAGATGTTTATTTGTGTGTAGTGTTGGTGTTTGAATGCTGAGATATATGCACATATACACATACACTGCCACACACGCACACACTGTGATACACATACACAAAGATACACACACTGACACATGCAGATATACATATACACAAACTGATACACATTCAGATAGACACACAGATACACACAAACACTGACAGACATACAGATAAACACACAGTGACATACAGACACACATACACAATGATAGGGAAGAAGACACACAAAGACACACTAACAGACAGACACACAAACTAACAGACATTTAGATACACACAGACACACGGACAGAGACATATACATACACACACACACTGACAGACATACACACACACACACACACTGACAGACATACACACACACACACTGACAGACATATACACACACACTGACAGACATAGATACACACAGTGACAGACATAGATACACACAGACACACTGACAGACATAGATACACACACACACACTGACAGACATATACACACACACTGACAGACATAGATACACACAGTGACAGACATAGATACACACAGACACACTGACCAACAGGTTCAGAAGGGGGGCTTACCTGGGATCCAAAGTGCTGCCTGAGGTAGTTGGGAGTTGGAGGAGCTGGTCCTGCCCAGCCCCCCTCCTCTCTGCCTTCTGCTGCTCTTGTCTTCTTGGGAGGACTTCCTCCCATGCTGACAAAAAGGGGCCGGTGGTAGCTCCGCCCCTGCTGTTCACCAGCCGCACTGTGTGCTACAGAGGGAGCAGGGATATGACGTTCATATCCCCGCCCCCTCCACACAGTCCGCGGCACTGCTGCAGGTTGGCGCTCGGCCACGCTACAAAAAGTGACCGGCAGGAGAGGGGAGCGGTGCGCTTCCCTCCTGCCGGCCACCCGGACATTTGCGCCCCCGGGCCGGTGCGCCCTAAGGCGGCCGCCTGTGCCGCCTTATGGACGCGCCGGCCCTGCCAGTTCCTGGAAGACACCTTCTTCAAGCAGTTGTACAGGAAGAAGTCTGCATCCTTCAAGAAAAACATGATTTTCATGCAGGACAATGCTCCATCACACGCGTCCAAGTACTCCACAGCGTGGCTGGCAAGAAAGGGTATAAAAGAAGAAAATCTAATGACATGGCCTCCTTGTTCACCTGATCAGAACCCCATTGAGAACCTGTGGTCCATCATCAAATGTGAGATTTACAAGGAGGGAAAACAGTACACCTCTCTGAACAGTGTCTGGGAGGCTGTGGTTGCTGCTGCACGCAATGTTGATGGTGAACAGATCAAACCACTGACAGAATCCATGGATGGCAGGCTTTTGAGTGTCCTTGCAAAGAAAGGTGGCTATATTGGTCACTGATTTGTTTTTGTTTTGAATGTCAGAAATGTATATTTGTGAATGTTGAGATGTTATATTGGTTTCACTGGTAATAATAAATAATTGAAATGGGTATATATTTGTTTTTTGTTAAGTTGCCTAATAATTATGCACAGTAATAGTCACCTGCACACACAGATATCCCCCTAACATAGCTATAACTAAAAACAAACTAAAACTACTTCCAAAAATATTCAGCTTTGATATTAATGAGTTTTTTGGGTTCATTGAGAACATGGTTGTTGTTCAATAATAAAATTAATCCTCAAAAATAAAACTTGCCTAATAATTCTGCACTCCCTGTATATTTAAACAAATGGATGTTTTTAGTTACCTCCAATGGCCATGGGAGGGTATGCCCACCTGCCACGTGAAGGCAGACCACGTAGGTGGGTCTTAACTCTAACCATTTACCTTGCTTCCTTGAGCTTCTGGCAAAGATATCTCGGAGACAAAAGTCCTATAACATAATAAGTTCAAGACAGAAGTTATATCAGGGGCAGAAATTAAATATTTAATAAAGACTAACACATCTATTTGAATAAATGGACAGATGGTCCTACCTCTAGCTGTGTATAAGAAACAGATTAAGACCATAACTATAGTGGGTAACAGTTATCTAAATGCAAATATATACCTCAAACAGAGGAGGCAACACTTGTTGCTCACCTGCAGCCGATGATCAAAGGGAGAATCAAAAGGAACCATCTGAGAAAATATATTTGTGTAAAAGCTAGTCGAATAACCAGCTGTAAACATAAAATGAAAAAAGTGGTAAATGCCAAAACGCAAACAAGCTCAAAAAATTCTAGAGGTCCTATTACATATAAAAAACATAAAAAACAAGAAATACAATACAACAAATACAAATAGGCGCGCCCTTTATTTCTTGTTTATGTTCTAATTTATTTCAGGGGATAGAAGGGTATTTCCCCTTTTAGGTGTGCTGCCTTTACACTATTATATACTTTCCTAGTGGTATTACTAGCGCTGATCCTATCTTGATCTCTTTCCCTATTACATATACCCGTCGTGTAGTCACCCAAACTATCCCAGGGTTTTCAACATGAAGGACCCGTAACAGATGCCAGGTAGCGGACCCGTGTGTGTCAAAGTGTAGGCGGAAAAGAGGATCAGGCCATTCCTGGTCTAATGGAGTCACTGTAAGGAGCCCAAGGTATAAATATAGATAGAGATTAATCAATGCTAGTACTATTAAACTGAAAAAAGAAATTCTAAAAAGTGCTTTAGATCATAATCTTCGTTCAGCCCAGAGGGTGACAGTCTCTAGGATACTGATCCATTTGGTTTCCTTTTGCAGTAGAAGTTTGTCTGTCCCCGCCCCTCCGTATGGGTGGAACTCAGTCTATGACCTGAAACCTTAACTGGTTCACACTATGGCCATGAGATCTGAAATGTCTAGGCACCAGAGATTCAATAATGCCTCGTTGTAAGGCTGCCCTAATACTCCTTTTATGCTCTCCTTTTCACTCTTTTACCGGCCAGATGGTCTCCCCCACGTATACATACCCACAAGGACACTTTAAGATATATATGACGAAGTCAGGGTTACACGTATAGTAATCCTTGACGAAAAATTTCTTACCAGACCGAGGGTGAACAAGATACTCCCCCTTGATCACACTGCTGCAGTGGCATGTAAATGTATTGGGCAGACTAGATGGGCCGAATGGTTCTTATCTGCCGTCACATTCTATGTTTCTATGTTACCTTTCTTCGGTTCAGAAAATAACCTAGTATGTTTCTTCGAGCTGCCAATGTCTGACTAAACTAAGATATCCTTAAAACTAGGAGCCCTTTGATACGAAAAAAGTGGGTTTTGAAATACCGGGGGTAATTGAAAGTCCCCCTCAAAAAGTATGTGGTGATACAAAGGCTATCCTCTCTGTTTTATTGACTGTTCTCGACCCAAAAAGAGTTTCCTGACGAGTGAAATTTTAAACTTTTTGTCCCTGATTAAGAACTATGTGTTGGATAATCCCTTTCCATAAATTTTTGTGCCATAAAGTCTAATCCTGTTAGATTACCTTTTCTTCTTGTGATACAATCCTTTTCATCCTTAACAATTGGCTATAGGGTAAGCCATTCTTAAGGTGGATCGGATGAAAGCTGGCATACGTCAGTAAGTTGTTACGGTCAGTAGGTTTTATGTATAGGTCACTATGGAGTCGGTCATGTACTCTTTGTACTTGGACATCTAAAAAAAGGGACCGTTACCATGTCACAATACATGGTAAACTTGATATCGGGATCTTGTGTATTCAGTGAATCATGGAACTCCTGTAGCTGGGCCCTAGTGCCGCCCCAACATACGAACATGTTGTCTATATACCGTTTCCAAACTAAACATTTGGTAAATAGAGGATGTTGGTAGATGTACATCTCTTCCATATGATTCATGTAAATCATCCCTTAATTATGTTTCAATTTCCTTTATGTAATAAGTGAGGCCCATAATAACTAGCGCACCCCCCTTATCCGCTGGTTTAATTATAATAGATGTATCTCCCTTCAAGTTATTAATGGTAGACCAATCTTGTTTAGTGAAGTTAACAGTTTCTCTATTACTTCTATGTGTCTGTTGGTGTTTCTTTCTAAGTTTATAGACATCTCTTTTCACTAAATTTGTAAATATATCTATGGATGCATTAATGTTTCGGGGGAGGGGGGTTCAAACCTGCGGATCAAGGACCACATGCGGATCAATCTGAGAGGCATTGGACACCACACCTTCTATGTTCTCTTCCTCTTGATGATGGTCTGTCTGTATTAACTGAGTGTTCCTATTACTTGGGGTCAGCTGCTGTGCCAAGGTTATGTTGATCTGTAGAAAAAAATGCACGTAATTTCAATTGGAGAAAAAAATTGTACATCTCATATCGTATTGATGTCATTCCACATTAGGGGTAGGGATGAAGGAGAGTCCCTTGTTCAGAGTCTCTTCCTCTTGTGTAGTTAATTACCTACCTGAGATATTGTGTATTCGGGATCCGGTCTGGATAGGGGAGGTTTGCCTTCCTTTCTCTCCTGTGTACCTCTTGTTGTGACCCCCCCTCCTGATGATTCTTCGTATTTTTAAAAAAGTGGTCCCCGTTAATGAGGAGGCAGAGGAGGAGGATGTAACTCCTTCCGTGTCTGAACGCCATCTTTGTGTTTGTATGTCTCTATTCTGTCTGTTGTCTGTCCTGGAGTACCAGGTATAGACCTGATCTCTCTGATAGTCCAACTCGTGTCTATGAAATTTTTTTCTTTTTGAACTCTTCTGTCTCCCTCTGGTATTCTTTCAACTTTTCTTCAATCTGAGTTTTAAGAGTTTCTAAGTCACTTTGAGCTGTCACAGCTGCCAACTCCTGTTCCACTGTTGCTATTTACTTAATTAATTTGACCAATTCTTTTTGTAGGGACTCAGTGGTTAATACCATAAGATCTACTGAGCACTTATTTAAAATCTTGTACCAAATGGTGCGATGTTCTACGTTATCCTTACAAAGTGTGGTTCCTCACTGTCAATTGTCCTGTATGGTATGAACAATAAAGTTTTTTCAATCACATGTGACGCATGCTGACGTCACCACGACAAGGCGGAATTAGGGATATTTAAATTCAGCCTTCTCGTCTGTCAAATTGCAGGGGCCTTCCAAGGGACATAGACATCCCGAGCGCGCAACCCGTTAGCTGCCGATCAGCTGACTTATCTCACGATCGTTTGCTGCCGATCAGCTGATTCAACTAATAGGAGGACTTTACTGCATCACGAACAGACACAGGAGGACTCTCTTCTCTACTGCTCCAATGATTTATCCCCTCTACAATCAGGGAATACCCTCTATATTACTACAGTCAGGACTGTAATTAGTTGTAAATAGCATTAGTATATATCATGAACTTGTACTTTGTGTATAATATATGAATTCATGAAGGGATCGCTAGTGGTTGTAAATAGGATCTGTATATATTATGAATTCTTTCTATGTGTATGATATATGAATTTAAGATAGGATCACCAATTGCCTTTAGTAGCCTTTTCCTCCAATTAATTATACTGAGTCAGTGAACAATAAATTAATTTTCGCATACTTATTTATGAATTGTTCTTAGTGCGCATAATAAATGCATTGAGTGCAGTATTTATGTTCAAAGTGTTATATAAAAAACATCCCTTTTTGTCTCATTAGAGATATCTTTGCCAAACGCTCAAGGAAGCAAGGTAAATCGTTAGTTAGGACCCACCTAAGTGGTCTTGACGTGGCAGGTGGGCATACCCTCTCATGGCCATTGGTGGTAACTAAAAACCTCCATTTGTTTAAATATACATAGGGATTTTGGAAAAGGTGCAGGTAACTTTTTCCTTTGGTTTTTACTGTATGTATTTGAGCTGATGTCTACTATGGTCGTTGCCCAGGAGTTATGGGAGTTTGAGCGCGGGACTTGTTTTTTTGTATATGTATATATCAAACCTGTCTATATCATTGTATTGAAATAGCCCCAACTCATAAGTATAAAATTGTAACTGTAGTATCCTTACTAACCAATAGGGGCATCTGACAACCAGGCCAATCGGCTAAAATTTGTGAACAGTCTCATGCCAGCAACATACTGCCGAACTGGGAGGAATGCCCTGTATAGAATACCTGTTTAAACCTAATCATTCGTATGTTTAGCCAACTTGAAACAAATTCGTATGAAAATGGCTTAATGAAACAAATGTACAGTGTAGTGAACAAAGAAACGAATGGCTGCGTTCGTGCATTTAAATTATGAAAGACATATATATTAAAGCTGTTATTAAATCAACCGAAAATTGTGCCGAACCGACCCCTACCGCGATGGCGTGTAACGATTGCAACCGCCTTACGGTAAGGATCTTGACTTACGGTTTAGAACCACTAGCCGTGCCGAGAAGCCGGAAGGAGGCCGTGGGTTTACGAACTGTTTGGTAAGCGTAGAACAGGAGCCAGGACCACAAGGAAAGCAGGTAAGAGAAACAAGATGGCTGTCTGACCGGAAGTAATGCTCTGACTCACCAGACCATCAACGGTAAGATGTTAGAGGATTGGCAGCCCTTTAAAAGGGAATTCAAGTTTTTATTAGTGTATGTGCATATTCATTCTGCCATTGAATTGCTGGGTGGTTTCCCCAATGTAGCATTCTAGGTGGCATTTGGTGCATTGCATCATGTAGACCACATTGCTGGATGTGCAGGAGTATGAACCTTTAATGCTGTAAGTTTTATTGTTGTGTGTGGCTGTGTTGTCTGTGCATATGTGCTGACACAGTTTGCAGCGAGGTTTTTTACATTGACTGGTCCCATTTTCTTTATTCTTCCCATCAGTGAACCGCTACCTGTTAATTAATTTTTGTTGGCGGTTTGGTGGTTGTCTGAAGGCCAAAATGGGTGTTTCAGAGAAAATGTTTTTCATAGTCTCATCTTCTGTTAACATTGGTTGTAGGTCTCTGATGATTTACTTTATTTTCTAAAGAGCTGGGTTGTAGGTGACCACAAGTGTAGATATTTATTTTTCTCTCTGTACTGTAGCAGGTGCGTGCGTGGAGTTTTTACAGTAGGGTTGGTTTGTTTGGTAATAGTCTTAGGCTACAAACCAATCTCATAGATTGGAAGGGTACCTTTAGATAGGAATTACGGTCATTAAGATCAGAGCATATGCAATGGTACCTAGTGGTTTGGCTGTAGGTGATGCCCTGTTTAGTATGGGAGGGGTGGACGCTGGAGCTGTGAAGGTAACTGCATCTGACTCTGGGTTTTCTGTAAAACGAGGTGTGGCTGTCACAGTGGTGTCCAGAAAATTCACAGATCTAGTGGAATATTCCATTTTTAGTTTGGATGGAATGTGTTAAAAGTCATCAGTTTTTCTTTGCTTTCAGTCCAAATTATGAAGATATCATCGATATAGCAATAATATTTGTATGGTTTGGTGTGCAGTATTTCTAGGAATCACTGTTCAAGATCTGCCATAAACAGATTAACATATTGGGGGGTCTCATAATTCTACCTTACACATGGATTCCTTGGAGTTTGTGTCTGATGCATACAACAGCTTTGAAGCACAACTCAGGAAGAGGTGCAGTGCCAGTGAACCACTCTTGGACAGCTGTTTCGTTATTTCAACTCATCAGCATGAGATAGGTTACTGGCTTGCTATACAGGCTTTGCATTAATTGTTAGCAGACATATACTCCAAGGAATCCATTTATAAAGTGGAATTGAGGCAAAAATTTGGTTCTTTGTTGAGTTCATTTGCATACGCCTACCCAGAATCCTTTTCAGTAGTGAGAGCACTGTTAAAGTGAGATTTCTGTGGTAAAAGCAAGTCATATGGCTTGCCTGGTGTGTGTATTTGTGTTTAACATTGCATTAACTATATATATCTCATTCCTGGGCTTACCCTGATCTTTTTCCCTGGAGTTCCAATTATCTTGACAAAATTTCAATCCTAATTTATGGTTACTATTTATTTATATTTTTTTTTATTTTTTTTTTAAAGCTTTCAACTATCACTCTACCGGAGGAGCATAGTTATGCTACGTTCTTGGTGGAAAGGAAATCCTCAATGGAGACGATAAATGAAGTAACATTGGAAAGCATTGTCGCAGTAAAAGTAGAAGATGATCTATGCGAAGAAAGTGCAGAAGAAACACGAGAGTTTAACCTACAGTCTTGGGGATGAGGTCCTGTTTTATAACATTAGTTTGCTTGGGAGAAAAACAATGGAGCCTGACTTTTCTCTTTAAAAAAAAAAAAATACATAGCAAGTTCCGTCCATGAGAATGACGTCCACGGGGGGGCCCGTCATGAAGAATGACGTCCACGGGGGGGGCCCGTCATGGAGAATGACGTCCACGGGGGGGGGGGCCCCGTCATGGATAATGACATGACGTTTTGAGAAAGGCTTGTTGAAGGTGAAATGCGTCTGTTTTTTATTTATTGTGTATCTTATACTGTTGTATTTTATTTCTAATAAAGTTTTTAAATAATTTTATATTTCAATATTAAAAAAACCTAAAACACATTTGTGGACTTACCCTGGTCTTTTACCTGGGGCATGGATACCGATTCCTTTGGTGCAAACACTACCTGAGCCCTGTGAACTGAGCAAAACCTATATTTTGCTCCGCAGCAGTACCTCTGTAATTCTTTTATATTTGTTTATAGATAATTCAGTGATTAATTTATATATGTATTAAGGCAGTTTTGCCTGTATTTGTGGGAGGGGCTTAAATTAATTCACTCCCCTATATAAGGGACACCCCTTACCTGACTTATATCGCTTGAGGTCAGCATCAGAATGATTTCCACTTCCGAGTCATCCAGACGCCATTTTACCTGATTACTCCATGAGGTTTTCTAAGCAGAGCTGTGTCAGGAATCCAGCCACAGGCTTTTCCGGCCTACCACCTTCTTTCTTCAATCCATCGCCGTGGATGGTGTCCAAGTGACTCACAAACAGTAAGTCGACCTACCCGTTACGCCAGGCATCAGTCCCACGGCACCATGCACGGGTCAGGTCCTCACTTTACGGCTGCATTTTGTCTATGTCTGTTCTAAAACCATTGCATGTTCATGCATATCATTCGTTTAAACCCCCTACCGGTCTTTGGGTGTACTACAGGCTTCTTAGACATTATTGCATTTCATGTACAAACCAACGAACCACTGCATTTTCGCCTACACACTGACCCCTACCGGTCTTTGGGTGTACTACAGGCTTCTTAGACATTATTGCATTTCATGTACAAACCAACGAACCACTGCATTTTCGCCTACACACTGACCCCTACCGGTCTTTGGGTGTACTACAGGCTTCTTAGACATTATTGCATTTCATGTACAAACCAACGAACCACTGCATTTTCGCCTACACACTGACCCCTACCGGTCATTCGGTGTACTACCGGCTTCTCAGACATTATTGCATTTCATGTAAAAACCAACCAAACACCGCATTTTCACCTACACACTGACCCCTATCGGTCATTCGGTGTACTACAGGCATCTTAGACGTTTTTTGCATTTTCATGTACAAACCAATAAACCACCTCATTTTCACCTACACACTGACCCCTACCGGTTTTTGGTGTACTACAGGCTTCTTAGACATTATCGCATTTCATGTACAAATAAACGAATCACTGCATTTGCACCTACACACTGACCCCTACTGGTCATTTGGTGTACTACAGGCTTCTCAGACATTATTGCATTTTATGTACAAATCAACGAATCACTGCATTTGCGCCTACACACTGACCCCTACCCGTCATTCGGTGTACTACGGGCTTCTCAGACATTATTGCATTTCATGTATAAACCAACAAACCACTGCAATTTTCACCTACACACTGACCCCTATCAGTCATTCGGTGTACTACAGGCTTCTTAGACGTTTTTGCTTTTCATGTACAAAACCATAAACCACTGCATTTTCACCTACACACTGACCCTTACCAGTCATTCAGTGTACTACAGGCTTCTCAGACATTATTGCATTTCATGTACAAACCAACGAACCACTGCATTTGCGCCTACACACTGACCCCTACAGGTCATTCAGTGTACTACAGGCTTCTCAGACATTATTGCATTTCATGTATAAACCAACTAACCACGGCATTTTCGCCTACATGCTGACCCCTACCGGTCAATCAGTATATTACAGGCTTCTCAGATTTTATTCCACTTCATAAGCAAACAAACGAACTACAGCATTTTCGCTTTTATACTGACTCCTATCTGTCAAATGGTAGCATTAACCCCTTAAGGACACATGACATGTGTGACGTGTAATGATCCCCTTTTATTCCAGAAGTTTGGTCCTTAAGGGGTTAAAGGGTATTTTAACATACAATCAGCATTTCTGACCCCTACTGGTCAACAGCAAAACTGTCTTCACATGTCATATACAATTTACCAGCCAATATAAATTACACATAAGATTGTTTTAAACATAACTATAGACCATAAATTAAACTCCAGCACGGGCTCAACTCCAGGTTTAATTCACAATAATTTACATTTCACATCAAGACCAACAGTGGTTCTATCAACACTGCCACCTACAGGTCTGTCAAGTACATTGACAATTTTCATGGGGTTTTACAAACACCAAAACACTGACAGCTATAGGTCAACAGACAAACAACATTTCACATACCAATCAGTATCCAACTACACTGCCACCTATAGGGCACTCGGCAGATCTCCAGTGCACTTGCCTTTTGCAACACCATGTTCACTGACCCCTACCATTCAATAAGACATACAACAATTCACATAGCAAGCACTATGTCAACATCTGGTATAAATACATATATTATTACACAGTAGCAGACACATCTGTATATATGTAACTGGTAATATAGTTCACATACATTTTTCACAGCACGCTGCTCCCGCAACAGACTTCCCCTAGCAAGGGGACATACAACATACAAGGTGGGGACAGACCACATTTTCACTTGTAAATACTAGACTTAATGGGTTAAGATTGATACATATTTAACCAGTATGGCTACGATGTTTAATATTTACACATCACGTCACTTTACTTTTCACATATACTGTACGTATTAAGATAAGCTTGGTCTATGCCATATTTCCTTATGCCATACGGTTTTATCCATTCAGGTTACAGTTACTACTAAAAAACCTATACGTATTGTCAGGTTCAATACCATACTACCAGGTACATGCACCTGCTCACGTAGTTATCCATCTCTTACCTTCCCTGGAATAGTAATAGCGTACTGGCAATTAGGGTCCTAGGGCCCAATAGGTATTACCCCCTTTCTCTGCATTAAACTTCGGTTAGTGGTCCCGCGAGGCCAACACCCTTCGGGCCACTCGTGAGCTAGCCGCCTCGCATTGTATAATAGAGAGGGCCTCACCTGTCACTCCCCTTCCTATTTTCTGGTTACTGTCACCGAGAGGCCAGCATCCTGCCACAACGTTCGGTGGCCACAAAAAATCCCCTCGCGCCAACGCATAGATAGAGCCTCTCAAGCCACTTGGCAACTAGCAGGGCCTCACCAGTCACCAAAAAACACCAAGCCTAATCGTTTTGCCTTACAGCTTAGCTAGCAAGCCAGTACAAGACCCCTGGGTACAAATAATAATTGCAATATTTATTGTTATTTAAGTATTTCTCAAAAAGATGGTGAAGAATCACTTCTTCCTAGCACCCCGGCTAGAATTGATACACCTTCAAGCAGAGGAGATGTTGCTAGTCCAGCAGCAATCAGATCCTGGACAATCCCACACACTACCACCGACCTAAGGAGGCGACAAATCCCCTACCCTGCCACAGCAAGGAAAGCAGAGTTATTCAAGCTCCTCCATACATCAACGGACAACACGGAGGCAGGGGAAGGCCCAGCAACACCAACTCAGGTGACACCCAGGCCATGCTAGCCTCACTCATAAACTCATGAGCCAAAAAATTTACGACAGACTGGCAATCTCGAGTCGGTCACCACAGCCCTCACAAGGCTGTGCCTCACGCTACTGTACAACCAGCACCAACCGAAACTCTGTTACCTGGTACAATCAATTCTTATGACACACAAGATGTTAACCCTGCACATATGTTCCCGGCACATTGGGGAAACAAGGCATAAATATGTATGATGATGTATCTGTGATGGTCAGATCCAGGGATTCAAGGTAAACACTGGCACTTACATGGCATAAAATGGGCAATCCTTTCCCCACTCAACTTTCGGGCTACAGATTAGCCTAATATCGATATTCGCAGATACTCTGTGCTGGTTATGATAACATATCCAGAGGCCTTACAGTCATACACTATCTAGAAGACTTCTTGTTGATCAAAAATAACATATTTTTCACTAGAAGCCTCACGGCAGCTTAGTCTGGTTGACCACTTGGGCGTCCCAGTACCCCATAAGAAACAGAAGGCCCAGACACTATCATCAGATTACTGGGCATACGACTTGAGTCTGCATCCATACACGCAAGTTACCACAAGACAAATAGGGAACATTCTCAACTACATCAATCATTACCTCCTGCTTAGTACTTACAACTGCAAGGAACTACGATCCCTACCAGGTTCCTTAATTTTGCCATGCCAATCATACCACAAGACCACGCTTTCACATCCAGAGTACTTTCCCCTTTTTTCCACACTTCCAACATGACGATCAGAGGAGGTGCCTAGACACCTCAGCAACAGCAGACCTGCACATGGGGGGATTTCTTAACCACTTGGCATGGTAAAAGCATGTTCCTTCCAGGATTGTCTGACACTTCTCCAACCAGATGGTCAGACGCAGCGTAAACCACGGGTTTGGCAGCGATCTACCGGGAACAATTGCTTTGGGGCTGTTGGCCATGGCATCCAGGTTTGGAAATTTTTCCACCACTTCAGCCCCTTTGGGAGATCTACCCCATTGTAGCAGCTGCTGTGGCATGGGGTAAATCATGGTCAGGGTCATCAATCCGTTGTTACTCAGACAACTAAGCACATACCATATCATCAACAAACGCCACTACTCATCCATAAGTTCATGATGTTTCTGGGGAACTCACTTGGTTGGCCACTTATCACATTTCACTTTCATGTACCAGATGGGGGTATACATCCCTGCCGACAACTGTCTCATTTATATTCCAGGCATGTTCATCATACGCTTCCTACAGCCGCCCATACAGTCACGTCCACTCTTTCGTTCCAGAGACAAAATCATGGATTAGACATACTCATGCAGCATAGCATGCACTATCCCACCTAGCACTTTCGTCCCATACTTGTAGAACGCATAACACAGCTTTTCACCTGGCTTAAAGAATCTCATTGGAACACGACATAGCTCAACCTGTGTCACAAAATTTCTCCTAAGTTTTGCTTATTTTTGCCACCTTAAACTTAAACTATCTCATACATCATTAATTATATATTTTACAGGCATTCAACAACACATGATAACCTATGGCCAAAACTACCATAAACTTCATGCTATCATACCAGGAAAGAATATACTCAGAGGTTTT